TATATGCAAAAAAATATAATAAAAAATTTTCTATTATAATGAGTTTAACCATATGTACTGCTCTTTCTAGAGTGTGTGAATGTGTTTTACCAGCTTCCGGTTGCATATGGTCATGTATAGAAACAGCACTCTGAAGCAGAAGAGTCTATAGGACATTTTTTGTCTACTTTTAGACTCCACTAATTGCACTTTGTTAGCGTCTCCTCTCAGCAGTGGTGATAGTAACACACTAAGTGTTTCATTTTGTTTCCTCAGTGGTGTTTGGGCAATTTGCCTATTTCCAGACAGCCATGAATGACTCTGTTGAGCTATTTGATGGGCCCAATCAGAATTCTAGGCTGCTAAGCTCCCTGGCTGGATCTCATTCCGGTAAGTAATAGCTTTACATTCACCCCAGTTTTGTGGCTTTGAATTTGTTTTGGAATGCACAAAACTCCTTAAAAAGAAGCAAACAGACATGCATGGCTTTTTAAATCAGTGAAACAAACATTTGAGCAGACAATTAAGTAGCCAATGAGCTCTCAAGTGTAGTTAAATGGCCCCTTTGTGAAAGGGAAAATACAGAGGAAGTGTGATTTCGGTACACTTGCTAATAGTTTTGTATTTGTAATTAATTACTTACTATTTGTGGGTCGCTAAACCAGTCATACGTGTCAATGTATTTTTAAAATTGAGATTTATACATCACCTGAAAAATTATAATGAAGATGCTTTCTATTGTTGTTTAGACACTATTTGAAAATCTGGGATCTGGGTGTTACCTTTGAGGTTGAGCAAATTCACTTGAGTTCATTTTCCTTTATTTTGTCACATCACATTAGATGTAATGCAAAATGAAAATACATTGCATTGACACTTAGCATTTTATTAGCACTGCTGGGGAACTAAAGTACTCGACCTGTGGCTGATATATAACCATAACGCACTGTTAATATATATATATATATATGTATATATATATATATATATATATATATATATATATATATATATATATATATATATATATATATATATA